CCACAGAATGGGAGAAAATATTTGCAAATCGTGTATCTGCTAAGAGACTTGTATTCATAATATATAAAGAACTCTTACAACTCAATAGTATATTAAAATTGCAATTTAAAAATGAGCAAAGGACTGGAACAACAGAGGAAGGAGAGTCAGGAATAGGAAGAAGAAATGGAATGTGTATCTAATTGCCTCCATGATCAACTGCCGCCTTTGCCATAAGACCAGAACTGGATGGTACCCAGTTACCATTACTGAACATTTTGATCAAAGATTCTGTAGAAGAATCCTGATCAAAAAGTGGAAAATGCAGAACAGAATTTCAAATTCCCATGGAATCCATGGAGGCTGGATGAACCCCTGAAACTCTTGCCCTGAAATAATCTTTAAACTGCAAACCAAAAATATCCCCTGAAGATTTCTTAAAACTTAATTTCTTAAAAGCTTAACTAATAAAGAATGGCTGCCTTGAGCATTGTGCTCTTTTAAGAACTATCTGTATGGAGTCAAATTGACAACAGCAACTTGAAAGATTAAATAGGAAACTTAGGGGATAATGAGTTTATGTTAATGAGGGAGGAACAACTTGGAAAAGGAGGGTGAGAATGGCTGTACAACTCGAAGAATGTAATCAGGGTCACTGAATTGTACATATAGAAATTGTTGGATTGGTGTATGTTCTGTGTATTTTCTCAACACCAACCAAAAAAAAAACAGTAAATTATTTAAAAAAAAAAAAAGTGTGTTTAATCATTTATGACAGAAGGAAGAGGGAATTTTTCCTCTACCAGGAAAGGGAAATTGACTTTGCAATCTTCATGACTAAATAACATAATTCATTTTTCTTAAATAAAATGTAATCTTTTACCAAACTGCTTTAGTTTACAATTGCAAATATATGTAACATGAAAACCAAAGACCTTCAAATTGGGAAAAAAAGAATGGATAACAGACTTGAATAGACATTTCTCCAAAGAATATATACAAACGGCAAATACATGAAATACATGAAAAGATGCTCTGTATCATGATTCCTAAGTATATTATTTTTTGATGCTTTTATAAGTGGAATTGTTATAATTTCATTTTCAAATTGTTCATTGCGAGTGCATAGAAATACAACTGATTTTTGTATAGTGATCTTGTACCCTGCAACTTTAACTCTTACTAGTTCTACTAGTTTTTAGTGGATTTCCTAGGACTTTTCTATATACAAGGTCTTGTCATCTACAAATATAGTCCTCTTTCTTTCCAATCTGGATTCTTTTTTTTTTTTTTTTTGCCTAATTGCCCTGGCCAGAACCTCCAGTACCATGTTGAATAGAAGTGGGGAAAGTAGACATCCTTGTCTTATTGCTGATCTTAGGGGGAAAGCTTTCAATCTTTTACCATTAAGTATATCAGTAAATGCATTTTAGTGGGCTTCTATTCCTAGTTGTTGAATGTTTTTACCATGAAAGGGTGTTGAACTTTGTCAGATGCTTTTCCCATGTCTACTGAGATGATCCTGTGGGTTTTTAAAAAAGTTATATTGATATGGTATATTAATTGATTTTCAGATGCTTAACCAACCTTGCCTTTCCCAGATAAATCCCACTTAGTCATGGTGTATAATTCTTTTTATATGCTGTTGGATTTGGTTTGCTAGTATTTTGTTAAGGAGTTTTGTATCTGTATTCATAAGGAATATTGGACAATAGTTTTCTCTTCTGATGATGCTTTTGTCTGATTTTGGCTATCCTTTTAATGTGTCAGAGAGGGTAGAACAGAAGTGACTGGTTATCTTTTCCCCGCCTTTGCTCACCCACATCTGGTAGGAAGGGATGAATAGATGCCCTGAACCCAAGTTCACACAGCATCAGTGGAGGTACCAATGGGGAGGACACAGCCTCATCTGTAAAATGGAACAGGAACCCTAGCTGATGGCCTGGTGGCGGTGGGCTGGGCCTACTGACCTCTTAGCAGCGTCTTGTCTTCCCTGCTCTGAGCCCAGGGTTCCCAGCATGAGTATCCAAGGAGCACCATATGCTAGCCTTAAAAGGAGAAGGAGAAACCATGGCAGTCCACCTCTGAGGTCCCTCCCAGCTCTAAAGAAGGGATTGAATCATGTAGCAATCGAGCAGCTCATCCTCCCTGTTAGGTGTTGTTGTTAGCTGCTGTTGAGTCAGCCTCTGACTCATGGCCACCCCGTGCACAATAGAATGAAACGCTGTCTGGTCCTGAATCATCCCCATGATCAGTTGCGACTTGGATCATTGTGATCCATAGGGTTTTCATTGGCTGATTATCAGAAGTAGATTGTCAGGCCTTTCTTCCTAGTTCATCTTAGTCTGGAAGCTCCGCTGAAACCAGTTGAACATCATAGCAGCACACAAGCCTCCACTGACAGATGAGTGGTGGCTGCTCATGTGATGCATTGGCAGGAAATTGAACCCAGATCTCCCACATAGGAGGCAAGAATTCTGCCTCTCCTTGTTAGGTAACTGGCCCAAATTTCATAGAGAAGAGAAGAGGGAAAGTTAGCATTCTTGGCTAGAGACCTGCCAAGTCCGTGTCCAGGACCTCATTGAATGACATGCACCATGCCAGGCTGATCATAAGGATAGTCAGAGAATGCTCTGGAAAAGCCTGCTCCCTCTTTGGCCCCAAAGGAGAGCACATCCTGTGGAAAGGAAAACAACATGGTCCTTTAGGAACAGAACAGGTAAGAGAATGGGCAATAGCTCTTCATGCCCTGCCCATGCCTGCCCACCTCGGCAGTAGAACAGGAGGCTCTATAAAAATGACTGTGGACCCCTAGGCTTCCCCACCCTCCCTGCCCAGCTAGGGAAGGGGTGACCAGCTGGCAGTGTGGGAAGGTGGGACTCTAGGAAAACCTGTGGTTCAGCTGTTTTGTGAAATAGTCATCGGAGTCCCTGTGTGACCTTGAGAAGGTGACTTCCTTCTCCAGCCCTCAAAGTAAGGACAAGTATGTATACACCGGACTGGCTGCATGTCGGAAGCCCCTGGGCCAGGCTGTGGCCTCCGAGGAGAGGCAGGCAAGTGGATGGCCCACCCTCTCTGCAGACTCTCCATCCCCGCCTTGGGTAGCAGTGCTATTTGTGTGCCTGCAGCTCACTCTGGAGGCCCTGCAAGAAAGCCCATGAGGCAGGCAGCCCAGGAAAGAGGCAAGTGGGCTGCCTCTGCTCACTGCCCCCAGGCATTGTCTGCTGACACTTCCTATGTCATGGTCCACCACCAGCTCCCTCCTGGTTAGTGGGCTGGGAGACAGCATTCAGGAAGCATCGGCATCTGTTAGGTAACCAGCTCAGCTGCCATGTAGGGTATGATGTCATCTTGAATTCTGTGGTTGCTAGGAAAATTCTGCCTGCAGTGATATTGCGTGGTCCCAGGAATGAGCTGAGAACAGAATGTTCCTGAGAAGAAAGGGGAAGGATTGTTGGGCTTCCTGAGCAAAGGAGCCACATTCTAGGAAGCAGGCGATTCGAACTCCTTTCTGGAAGCTGATTTCCCCTTTCAGGGAGTCCCTGGGTGGTGCAAACAGTTAAGCACTCGACTACTAACCAGAAGCTTGTCAGTTCAAACCCACCCAGAGGCACCTCAGAAGAAAGGCCTGGCGATCTGCATACAAAAGGTCATAGCCATGAAAACCCTATCGAGCACAGTTCTACTCTGACACACATGGGGTTGCCATGAGTCAGAGTTGACATGACGGCAGCTGGTATTTCCCTTTTCAGGAATACAGGTTGTACGGCAATGGGTGGGTGGATGACAAGGTAATTTTCTAAGCAGCACCTTGATGTTCTCGTGCCAAGTGGAAGGCATGAATGGCACTGTTATGTTAGGTCCTCAGCATTGAGCCCCCCTTCCCCAGCACCTCAGGGCTAGTGTCTCCTCTGCGCCTCTGGGTGGCAGAGCAGTTAGGAAGGAGGCCAGCACAAGGCCACCAGTGTGGGGTGACTCCCTTCTAGTGTAGACAAGACTGCTGGCACCATACCTGGAGGGCTAGAATCCTACCCTCTTCCCCCGCTCCCTTTCACATGCCAGAAGCCCCACTGTGCACCTCCCACACCAGCCCACCCTTCTGAGGCTTTTCCTGTACCTGCTGTTCTGATCCTTTCCCTCCGCAGGGAGAATTCCTCCAGTAGCACAGAAGAGAAGTATGTCAGAAAGCCCGTGGCAGCCTGACTGTTACTGTGTGGGCACAATGAAGAGCTGCCCTTCATGGAAAGCGCCAGAGACAGAGAGGCAGGTGGACCCTGCTGGCCACTCACTTGCCCTGCAGGGTTCCTGGCTGCTGTCAGCCCTTCCTTCCCAGGGGACTCGTTGGGGGTGGGGGTGGGAAGGGGGCAGGTTAGCCCTGTGCCTTCTCTCTCTTTCCTCTGCCTTTCCTGGCTGCATGTCAGAGCCTGTCTTCTGGAAAACAAGATAAAGGAAGTGATTTCATGAGTTCCTGGACCCAAATCTCAAATTCAGGACTAAAAAAATAATATAAAGATTGGGGCATTATCTGTTTCCACAGGAACCAGGCAACAGCCCAGCTGGAAATGGGCCTGACCAGGCTCCTTTGAGCAGGTGTCGTTGGGTTTGGGCATAGGAGATGCTGTTCCAGAGAGGAATGGCTAGTAGAAATCATAAGGAGCAAGAGCCAGCCTCCAAAGGGATCAAGCAAGAGTCTTGAGAAGAAAGAGGGAGGTTCCTAAGGACTCCTGGCCTTGGTGACCATGGACAGGGGGTGTGAGCAGAGCCCTGCTCCCGGATCAGAGGCCCTGGGGCTCTTGTCTTGGCCCACCTCTGAGTCTTGGCCCTGCAGCGGGTTGCTGACCATATGCCTCTGGCCAGGCTGTAGGGAGATCCGGAGAGAAGGTGGACTTCTCGGAAGTGCTTTGCTCTTGGCTTGTGGTGGGCTGAAGCTTCAGCTGGGGGCCCGCGCCTCCTTGCCTCAACTCAGATGGTGCCCAGGTGCCGGCAGCCCCATGCAGCAGTTCTTTCCCTCTGGTCTGCAGGTGCCGAGGACGTGGTGATGGCGTTTTCCAGGTCGGAGACGGAGGACAGGAGGCAGTAGCTGCAAACCCCTCGGAACGCCCTGGAAGGTGGCTTGGGCCCAGAGATCTGTGTGGACGGGAGGCTGGCTGAGTGGCAGCGCCCCCCTCGCCCCACTGCCCTCCCTGCTTCCCCACTCCCACCCCCTGCCACTCAGCTGGGCGGCATCGAGGGCGACCCCAGAGGTGCAATTAGATGGGCTTAAAGGGATGGACTCCGTGATTGGCTACAGGAAGAAACCTTTTTATTTTTAAAATCTTGACCAATGGAAATCTTTTATTTTTATTTCTGACTCTTTTTTTTTTTTTTTTTTTTTTAAAGTAGCTCCTCGGGATACAGCTTCCCAGGAAGCTCCCCGAGCCCTGGTGCTTTATTTTATTTAGGCCATTTTTAGGGGAATGTGAAGAGGTCTGATTTGATTGGCTGCTTAAACTGGAAATGGATTTTGATTGGCTGGTTATTGGGGGACGGTCTTTTCTTTGATTGGCTGCCGGTGTTGTGCTGATGTCAACAGCTTGTCTATTTTGAAGGCAGAAAACAGGGTTTGGGACATTGGTTATTATATCTGACTTGAAAAACAAAAAAAGAAAAAAACCAAGTGCGCTTTGCAATATTTATTACACAAAGAGCTTGCTGCTGCTTTTACATTTTTTTGTTCGTGTTTGAATTTGATTGGCTTTCGATACGTGTATTTTCCATTGGCTCACTCATGACTCCCATTGCCATGGAGTCACCCCCACTTTGCTGCTTGCCGTCTGTTCCTCTCTGGGGCCCTGGGAGTCCACCTGGAGGGTGCATTTGCTTTAATAACCGCACCTGCCTCCACTGGCAAGGAGACCCCAAGGGCCCCGAGCTGGGCCCACAGCTGGAAAACTGGGCCCGCAGGAACTCTGTATTGTCCTGAGCAAGCAGCCCTGAGGCGGAGGTGACAGTTAGCAGGATTTATGTGCACCACTTTCGGGAGCTGGCGAGCAGCCAGCCGGCGTGGCGAGGATGAAATGGCTCAGGCACCTTGCCTCTCCAGCCGGGCTGTGCTAGCCAAGGAGTGTGGCCAGGGCAGCTCTGGCCTCTCAGCCACTCCTCTGTACCCACTTCCTGAGGCCTCCTCCAGGGGCTCCTCCTGGAAAGGGAACAGGTGGCTCCCAGCTGTGAGACCCCACAGGGTAGCAGACATCTCTCTGCCCAGGAGCCCGAAACCCACAGAAAAGCTCAAGCTGGGCTCACAGACCTGGAAGGCCTTTGGCCCTCCAAACCCCAACCCCAAACCTGCCCCAGCCCGACTCCCGCAGCTTCTGCTGCTGGGGCCACAGGGTCCCATCCTGCACTCGGAGGCCCTCATCTGAGGCCAACCCTGCTGTGCATTGCCTCTGGGAGGGACATCGTCATCACTTCGTTATGAAGGGCCCTCTTGCCAGCTGGCTGGGCCTTCATTGAGCAAGTCCCACTTGGCTGGTCCCAACCCCAGCCCCCAGAAACATGTTTCAGAGCAACAGTCTTTGAGCAGGTGGGTCCCAGGACTGGTAGATAGTGCTGGTGTAGGGACCCCAAGTCTTCCCACCTGCCCACCTCCTTCCCCTGGAGGGCGGCCCCCATCTTCTGCATTGGCTCATGGGTGTGGGACCTTCGAAGAGAGTGGGGGAAGATGCAGAGGCCTTAGGGAGAGGAAACCTCCAGCTTGTCCCAGTGGTATTAGATGGTGGAGGCCCCTTTCTTGCCCTAGGTACCCAGAACTGGGAGAAGACTCTCAGAGCTGAATCTTCCCACCTTCTCAGGCTGAGGACCTCAGAGGCTCCTGTGTGTAGAGGAGCATGTGGCAGCCCCACACCAACATGCCTTGGGCCTGGTCCCCCCAGGAGAGCCTCATTCTCAGTGAGTGGTTCATGCTGTGCTCTGAGCATCACCGGAGTCTTGCCCCAGAAGGAGAACTTGAGTGTCATGGCAAGGCACTCACATCTCCCCAGCTCACACTGGCCCCTGGCACTGGTTGGCCAACAGTTAACCTGCAAAGGCCAGAGATCCCCAGGGATGAAAACAGTGAGGACACAGCTGTATCCCAAACCCAGCAGGGCCCTGACAGCATCTTGCCTGAGGAGGGGTAGTATGTGTGTTGTGCGCGTGTGTACGCAAGCACACACGTGTATGCTTGCACACACACATATCCACTCACCCTCTAGTTCAGTGGTCTGGCCCTCCAGCTGAGCCCCTGGGGATAGGTGAGTTTTGCAGTCCCCTTTCCCCCAGGTTGTGACATTTGGAATCAGGTGTCAGCGCCAGTACTGCTGGCTACCCCCCACTTTCTATAACTGTAGCTCTCATAAAGGGTCTGCGTCCAGGTCAGTCGTGTGTCCTCTGCCGACGTGTCCTTGTCAAGACCCCAGGTCTCCCTCTTGTAATAATGGCCACCCTGATCTGTCTCGTCTTCTGAAGAAGAAAAGTGAAAGTATTGCTTCATATTTCCACTAAAAATATATCTGTTGGAGAAAAAAAATAACAATAAAGATTTTTAATAGCTTGGTGTGTCAGTTGATTTCTCCCACAGAGCTGGGCACCCTGACTGGTGTCTTCTCCTTGCTTGACATCTGCTGCTGGTGGTCCTTCCTCCCCAGGGAGGTCCAGCAGGGGTGTCGAGAACACCTGAGTTCTATGGCTGTCTGAGAGCTGGTGGGAGCTAGGGGTTTGGAACTCCCAAGTGTACCCAGCCCAGCTAATGGGTGCTTAGCAGGTTGGGTCCATGTTTGTCCTAAAGATTCTGAGTGTCATCCCAGAAGGAGTGGGGTTAGTAATCTTCAGGGGCGACCTCACCCTTCCATGCTCTTGAACAGACACACTGAGCACCCCCTGTGGGTGTGGGGACCATCACTGACACCCCAACATCCTTACGTGACAGCAGTGGCCTTAGAATGCTTATAACAAAAGTCCAAAACAATATTTATCCCTTCCATCTTCCTGGAAGTGCAAGATGTATTGGTGTTCAGCTGTATATTCAGGTTTGGAAGGTGAAGTCATTTCTGCTTTAGGAATTTTTGCTTTGGTAGCATTATGTAGAATTTTTCATTTCTACCCTTCATAATCCCACTTTAGGTCTTCACTATTTTGCTGCTTACATGGACTCCCTGCTTCGATTTCCTTTTCAAAGAGTTCCACTGGGTTCTCGATGGGATGGGGTTTACAGGATATGGGGATGGCACAATCAAATCACTGAATCTTGGTGTTGGAAGAGATGTTGGAGGTCATCTAGCAGCCCATCCAGTGGCCAGATGCTTAGTGCCCTCTGGAACGTCTCTGAATAGAGTTTGTCCAGCCTTTGCTTAAATACTCTCTAGGGCTGGGAAACTCACTACCTCACAAGTTAACCCATTCCATGTCCAGTTGACTTTATTTTGAGTTGGTCTGCCTTTTGCTGTAACATTCCTGTCCAGAAAGGAGTTCATAGGCATTGACTGAAAAAAAAAAAAAATAAGATAGCTATGTTGGCCAAAAATTATATAGAGACACATGTTCAAGAGCCCACCTTAGATAAATTTTGTGTAGATTCCTTCTCCCTCAGTGTTCTGAGTGACAACTGTTGGTTGTAGTTAATCTAGTTAATCGTCTCTTCTAAGCTGGGCCACTGTGCAGAGGGCGAGGAGCTGGCTGGCTGGCCCTGGTCCTACACCCCACCCCACCCCCGCAACAGAAGCCAGGAAGGAGGAAGGTCGAGCTCCCAGAGCTGTCTAACCTGTTGGGTCTCTAATGGGAATTAGGTCATGTAAGATGAGAAAGGGACACTCCAGCAGAAGAAGGGAAAGCATTTGGCAGCACAGGCTGGGTCTTCCAGGGTCCCTCAGCCCACACAAATAGGCAGTCTTCTGGGTCTGCCTTCCCAGGTACCAGTGCACGGGTCCAGTAATGACCCCAATGGGTGGGATGGGACTGCTGGGGACCAGAGGCAGCTGGGTGTCAGGCTGACCCTGGGAGAGCCTTGGGACGGGCAGGGAGGGAGGCAGAGCACCCTGTCTTTTGTTGGCCTGACCCAGGCCTGGGGGAAGGGAGGCTGAGAATGAATGAAGCGCTTCTCTCTGTCCCAGCAGGTGAATAGTAGCTGTGAGTGCAGGCTGCTCTGGTGCCTTTGAACGGGGCCCTTTGTATCAAGGAAATGATCCCCTCCGTGGGGCCTGGGAGTAGGGAGAGGGCAAGAATCAACTTCCGAGATGGGGTGTGGGGGAGCTCCATGGTGCCCCCAGGGATCCCACCCTACCTGCTCCTCCTGAAATGGCAGGTTCTCTCTTTCCAGCTGCTCCTGGCCATCCGCCCCTTTCCTGGAGGATGAAGGAGGCCCAGGCAAACCTGAGACCACATATAAAAATCCCTCCACTATCCAATGGAAGAACTTTCTTTTCTAGGAAATGACTGGGTGCTTGGGAGATTTGGGGAGTGACGAGGGTGTGTGGCGGCCAGTCCTAATGAAAAGTCCTAATCAAAGGACAAGGGCAGAGAAATGCTCTCTGGATCTCAGTCACTGTATTGCCTTTACTTTTCCCCTTGATGTTGGGACTGTCCCCCTGATAGATGGGGTGGACTTCCCAGGCTTCCCAGTGGGGCCTTCCCTTCCCCGAGGCAGGGAGCTGTTGACACTGGAGCTGAACCACACCCTGCCCGCTCCACCCTGCCTGGGCCTCTTCCGGAGTGTCTAGGGAAGGTGGATTGTGTGCCCCAGGTGGCCACCTTGTTGGCATACCTGCAAGAGCCCAGCCACACCTTGCACAGCCCAGGAGATGACTTCAGACCAGAGTCTGAGCCTCTGAGGTTTCTGCCTCCTGCCCTTGGCCTTGACTGTGTGCTTCTGTTAGAAGGAGGTGGGTTTTTACAAACATCTTTTATACAGGTGTCTCTCCTGTGTCTGAGATGGTTAAGCCCTTCTCTGCCCAGTCTTAATAACACAGCTAATGAGCTACTTGTGTGCAAGCACGTACCAGTTTATACACGTTGTCCTCAGAAATGTATGAAGTATTTTATTGTCCCCATTTGACGGTTGAGGACAGA